ATCAATGATTCTCTGCCATCATTGATGTTTCTGTCTCTCTCTCCCTCTCCCTTCCTCTATGATATCAATAAAAATATATTAAAAAAAAGAATGTGGGAGATCCATATGTTTATTAAAGTGAAAAGATTTCTAATATTTTCAATACTAAAATAACTGAAAATGCAAAATGCAATAAAATCCCATTTGTTTAAAAACAAGACACAAATTATGTATTTAGGAAAATCAGTTATATGTGTAAATGCAGAGAAAGAGATATGCACCCACAACACTCAATAGGACCTGGACTGAGAGCTTCAGGTGGGTGGCAAGTGAAGGGGACTTTCTCCTCTACACACTGCATATCATTTGAACCTTTATGAACAAGAGGTAAAATATAATTCTTCTGTCTTAAAAAAGTTAAATATATTAAGTAATGTTATTTCTAACCGATTACAAAAGAAAAAGATTGAATTTTTGGCCTTTTCCTAGTCAAAGGTATAATGCATTCCAGAGCAGAAACTCAAAGTACAGATGAAAATACTCAGCCTGCACTAGTCTTTCATTTCTTCGTCCTTCCTCTTACTTTTACTCCTTTAGGTCAAGATTCCTGGAGGGATAATCCAGACCCCAAGGCAGAGACAAGAATAAACCCGTAGCTGATCTGTCCCCAGGTCAAGTATAAGACCAAGGCACCCAGATTTGAAAATTTCATGTGTTCACCCTGAATTTTGTATTTTCTAGAGTTCTTTCGTTGAAACGACCTAGGTGAAGTCAGAGGAGGCCTGAGGGAAATGAGAAGGTTCATAGGTCATGAGAAAAGAAGAAATCACTGTCTCAAAGAGTCAGAAAGTGCAATAGAGTCCAGATGGGCTGCCAGCTGAGCAGTAGCTGTAAGACAAGAGTCCTGTGGGTTGTGGCAGTTGAAATCACAGCACAGTTGTCTCTCTGCAGTTTCAAGATTCAATTCCTTCACTATATATTCCTGCATTTCATTACAGTGCACGTAAGTGTCCTTGCAAAGCAGGATGGATGTCAAGGTTTAGACGTGTGTCTAATGATACACACTAAAGCATCAGCACAGCCAGAGAGAAAATTGAAGGAAGGGAGACAGAGACTGACCTGGTGCTGAGGTTGCTGCCGCCACTGGCCATCGTCCTGCCGTGGGCCCTGCCTGGACCTCTGATCCTTCCAGTCTCCCCAGCCTGGGTCTGCTGTGGCTGACAAGCCCTGAGCAGGAAGTGTGTAAAATCACCCACGGAGGGCTCCACCCAAATGGGGAAATGAGAAATGAAAGTAACTTTTTGAGTGTTTTCAGACACTGTCTCCCTCCTCCTGCAGCCCGATAGTGAATCTCAGCCATCATAACATGTGGCAGCCGGAATAAGGAACAAAAACAGTTAGTCAGGACCTGGAGGCCAGGGGAAGAGCAGCCCACAGGAATCCTCTTGTTTGTATATAGACACCAAAAACAGGGAAGTAGTTGGAGCTATAGGGCCTGGAACCCTGGAAGTCAGGAGAAGCAGTGACAGAGGAGGGACATGCAACAAAGGGCATAGCAAAGAGAGGGGCTTCAGAAGCCTCAGCAGGAGCAGCTTCCATTCAGATGTCACTGATAGTCTTATGGGGACTTTCTTGCATGTGATAAATCACCTTTTTCTTGCTGCTTTTAAAATTCTCTCTTTGGCTTTGACTTTTGACAATTTAATTATAAAGTGCATCTGTGTAGCCCTTTTCAGTTTCTACCTATTGGGTCCATTGGGCTTCATGAAGGTGAAAGTCCATTTTGCTCCCTAAACATGGGAAGGTTTTAGCCATTATTGTTTTAAATAGATTTTCTGTCCTTTTCTTAACTTTTGCCCTTTGGAATTCCCATTATCTATACTAATAAAAAGGTAATATGCTAATTAAACCAGATAGACCAGATGTCTTCCTGACAAAGCCACGGTGGCGGGGCCAAGGCAGAGGCAGTTAGGAGTGATCAGGCAGGCAGGCAGGCAGGCAGGCAGAGTGGTTGAGGACAATCAGGCCGGCAAGGGAGAGCAGTTAGGGGTGATCACGCCAGCAGGAGAGAGTGGTTAGGGGCGATCAGGCTAGCAGAGGAGCAGTTAGGAACATCAGGCAGGCAGGCAGAGGCAGTTAGGGGCGATCAGGCAGGCAGGCAGAGGGGTTAGGTGTGATCAGGCAAGCGGGCAGGTGAGCGGTTGTGAGAGGGATGTCCAACTGCTGGTTTAGGCCTGAAACTTGTGGACATCACCAGAGGTGTCCTAGATTGGAGAGGGTGCAGGCCGGGCAGAGGGACCACTCTCCCCCCCCCCCCCCCGCACAAATTTCGGGCACCAGGCCTCTAGTTTACTTATAAGGAAAATAAGACTTATGGGGCTCTAGTGAGTATATGATTTTCTTAATAATGTCTCATAAATCCTATAGGCATTCTTCACTCTTCTTCCCTTCTCTGAATAAATACCTTTAAATAACCTATCTTCTAGTGCACTGATTTTTTTCTTCTATTTTTTGAGTCTGCTGTTAAATCTCTCTATTAAGTTCTTCAGTTCAGTTATTGTATTCTTCAGTTCTAGGATATTTTTATAGTTTCTTTTTCTTTTCGGTGAACTTCTTATTTTGCTCATTTGTTTTTCTATTTTATTGAGTTGTTTGTCTATAATGTCTTGTAGTTCACTGAATTTCTTTCAGAGGATTATTCTGAAGTGTTTTTCAGATAATTTATCTATCCACATTTCTTTAAGGGTAGTTATTAGAGCTTTTTAGTTTTTTTTAGTGTACCGTTCACCTGAATCTTCATGATCCTTGATTTCTTGTGTTAGTATCAGTGCATATATGTAAGCAATCTCTTCTTCCAGACCTACAGGTTCACTTCATCAGGAAAATGCCTTCATTAGTCAGCTCAGGTTGGAATACAATACAGGAGAGCTGGTAGCATCCATGGGAAGATGGGGCATGTCATCAGAGTCTCAGTTGGGAAGGCTAGTGCCTGTGCTCTGAGGTTGCTGCTTGGATGATGGCTGAGCTCTGTGGTTTGGTGGATGTACAGGTTGGGCTCCTTGATCAGGCACAACTGCTGGCTGTGCTTTGCGGCTTGATGAGTCCACTTGCTGAGCTCAGCAATCACCTCTTGTTGAATGAGGTTTCAGTCTGTGTTTTGTGGTATGGTGGTGCCATTGGTTGGACTCTGCATTTGGTCAGGGTTACAGGCTGGGTTCTGTTGCTAGCCAGAGTTGTAGATCTGGTTCCATAGATCAACTGAACTATAAGCTTGCTACCATGGCTGCCTGGGTTCTCTGATCAAGCCTTCTAAATGGCTAGGACTGAAGCTATACCCTGCAATGCTTCTCTGGTTAGGCATGGTAGTAGAATGGATTCCTTGGTTGGTATGTTCTGACTGAGGACCCAAATCAGATAAAACTCCCAACTGAGCTCTGGCTAGATGGAACCATTGGCTTGGTCCTCAGAAGGGCAGAGCTACTACTTGGGATCTCACCTTAGGGACCACTACAAGCAAGAATGCAGTCTACTAAGGTCTCATTGCTGAGTCTATAAGCCCCAACTTTGCTTAAGTTTCTAGTAGTTATCTAGTAGCCAGAAAGCACCTAGTTTTTTCCTAAACCAGATGGCTAAAACATGGAGATGTAAAGGGGATTATAACCCTTTCATCCTTCAATCTTTGCAGTGGCACCAACTTCTGTCATTCCCTCCTTCCTAAGAAATGCAATACTGCTTTTAGCCTACTGTGTTCACCGTGTAAAAGTTCTATTTCAGAGCCTTTCATTTGGTCTTTTCTAGGACAGTCATTGTTATTTAATAGGTTAAGAAATGAATGGTTAATAAAACAATTTGTTTGTCCTGATTATATGTTCAGTGTTTGGGAAATGAATGCTGGGTAGCTCTATGGATTGAGTGGACTCACTGTTGGTGCACATGATCTTATCTCCATGTAGTCTAACAGGGGCCATTATGGTGTCTTGGGTCCCAAGGTTCAACTCATATACTGTATCAATAACTCTTAATATTTCTGTGAGTTTTCTTTGTCTCACATATAATTACTTGAATAAATGGCTAAAGGTACCTTTAGTGAAGAACTCAGGGAATTACTATGGTGTACATTGCACAGTCCTTCTAATAAGAACTGCCATCAACAGCTTCTTGGTCATGAATTGGCTGAGGTCTGGAAAGTGAGCAAGGAATGTTGTCTTTTTATTGAAGTAGCACTTCAACCATCTGAACATCTATAATCTCTTTTGATGACATATAAAAAGCAATATCCTCCTTAACTTCTCATGTGTCTTGCCTGTAAGAACAGTGTCTTCTAGTATCTAATTTATTAGACATCTATGGGCCAGGGTCCCTGTTTGTGATTCTAAGCTTGCTGCCCATTATACAAATTACTCATCAATTAATACTGCACCTTAGCTTCAGTTATTCTGGAGACCTATCACTGAATTTGTTATTAGGGAATCCAGCTCTGTAAATTATTCCTACATTATTCCAACCTACATAGGACAGTCTGGACTGAGCATTTCAAGGATGCAGCTGCTGTCGTAGCAGTGCATTCCTTATTGCCTTATTAGGTGGTGTCTCTGAGGCATCTGAGGACACAGTAACCTGATGGATGGAATATCTAGTTTTAGAGAGTAGAGCCATGATACCGCCTTAAGACTTTGGATCCCCCCCCCCTTTAAATGATCAGCCCTGGAAAGTCTTGTATTTCTTCTTCCACTTCATCTGGTGTGCACTGTGCTATAGCAAGCCTCCAAGAGCCACCTGGAAGCATATTAGAATCATTGCCTTTGGACCTTGCCAGGCTAATTAAGCTCTGTGGCCCAGGAGAGTGTGCCTGTATGAACATCCCCCATCCGTATTTTATATTCTAACATAGTTTTTCCAGGATTCACTTTCACACACAATCTCCTGGCTGCTGTTAGTACATGTGGGTTAGACCTGCAGCTCTGTTGGAGTAAACTTTCTCTTCAGCTAGCAGGCTCATCTAGTATATTCCTCGTTTGGTCATGCTGAGATAACTCTGCATAATCTTAGTTCAAGCAAGATGGTGGGCAGGGCAGTGGTCTGTATAGCAACAGGGGCAGGGGTCTCTTTTGCAGGACAGTGAATTCAGAAGGATGTAGAGTTCAGAGTTCTCAGAAAGCCACTCTGAGTTTTGTGGATTCATGCTTTCTTTATCAGGGATTTGACTTTGGCACAAGAGGCCACCCTGAACTTAGAATTCAGTCTTCTCTGAAGTTCTATCATTCTTTCTTTTTTTATTTTTAAATCCTCACCCGAGCACATGGCATGACAGAGGAAGACAGACAGAGAGAAACATCAATCAGTTGCCTCCCATACATATCCTGACCCGGGATTAAACCCATAGCTCAGGTATGTGCCTTGACAGGGAATCAAACTGACAAATATTTCTCTGCACAGGAGGATGCTCAACCAACTGAGACACTCAAAGTGGGCAGAAATTTGGTCATTCTTAAAATGAGGGCCTGTACCAAGAATTCCATATTGTGTACCTTCCAGTTGCAGGTGGTAATCCTATATAATAAAAGCCCAATATTCTAAGTGTCTGGTCCACCAGTTGGCCATTCAACCAATCAAAGTGTAATAGGCTAATGAAATGCTAAGGCCACTCAACCACTCACTATGATGTGCACTGACCACCAGGGAGCAGACACTCCAACTGATAGGTTAGCTTGCTGCTGGCGTCTGGCTGATCAGGACGGAGTAAGATGGGCTGGACACGCCCTGGAGCCCTCCTGAGGTCCCTCCTCAGTTTGCCAACCTCCCGCATCTCTCCTTGGCCCTGATTCTACACCGTGGGTTCCCTTGGCCTGGCCTTCACCCTATCGCAATCATGGACCCCTTGGGGGTTTTGGGGAGCCAGTTTCAGCCTGATTCTGCAGGCCAGGCCCAGGGAGTCCACTGGTGCATGAACTTGTGCGCTGAGCCTCTAGTTACTATATAGGAGCCTGTCATGCACTCTTTTAAACACTTTAATGGAGCTTAGAAATAGCCACCTAGCCAGGCCTGTATTGCTCAGTGGTTGAGTGTCGACCCATGAACTAGGTCACAGTTGGATTGCAGTCAGAGCACATGCCTGTGTTGTGGGCTCGATCCTCAGTAGGGGGAGTACAGCTGATGTATGATTCTATCTCTCCCTTTCCCCTTTTCTCTCTGAAATCAATAAAAGCATATTTAAAAAAGGTTTTTAAAGAAGTAATAGCCATCTAATCACACAGTTC